TATTCCAACTCAAGAAAGGGTAAAGAAACCCTTGATTCAAGAAGCCTACACAATAAAGAAGAAAAGGGCCGAATTGCTACCTCAAAGTGAAGCCTCCTTGCTTGAAAGTCTCAGAACAACAACCTCCTTTGGTCCTTCTTGCTGGATCACTTATCCTCCTTAGCAAAATCACAACAAATGGTTCAAGATGGCTCTCTCTCTTACTACACACGCTCAAATATGCTAGGGTTCTTTTCTCTGAAAGGGTGGCCGCAAATGAAGGCCATAAGGACCCTTAAATAGGGCACAGGCCCAAAGATTTAGGGTTTCTGTCCACAGCGCGGACTCGTCGAGTCGACCCTCCGACTCGTCGAGTCCATTCATTAATCCTAGTCAGCAGTTGCGATCCTACTCGACGAGTCTAGGCGTCAACTTGTCGAGTCCCTCTCCTTGACTCAAAAATAAATACTAAATTTATGATACCTGGAAATCCGGATGTTACACAAGCCATTTTTGTGCATTTTTGTGTGTGTTTGAAGTTGGAGAAGAGAAGGAAGCTTGGGAGTTCAAGTAGAAGCAAGGAGATCCAGAATTTTTACTTCATTCTCAGCTCATTTAAGGTAAAAAGCTGGAACCTTGACCATTTATCTCTTAGATTTTGATTTGGGGCAATTTCTACCCTGTTTATGAGTATAGAAAAGCAAAAAGCAGAATAGGGACCCGACGAGTTGGTGGACCAACTCGGCAAGTCAAGTCAACTGGATGTTGACTTTGACCAGAGTTTGACCTTGACTTTGACTTGGATTTGGGTTGACCCTTGTAAGGGTTATGAGTATGCATTAGTAATCGGAAAAGGCCGTTGTGTAGGGATTGAGGAGTAGAGACGAGTCGATTCCCGTGTCGAGGACTGTGTGGATACTACATGACATCGAGGTGAGTTACCTTCTAATAGCGGTGGGTCTATGGCCACAATGTCGACCCACTAGTAGGAGTTGTATGTTAGGTGATTGTCTTTGTGATATTCATCTAGGGTTGCTACTACCTGATATGTTTATGTGCTAGCATGATATGCTATATGTGATAGTGGTAGTAGGGGAGGGAATAGTCTCCAAGTTCGGTTGTTAGGACCGAAGGGTAGGTCGGGCACCCCAGATATGCTTGGTAGTATGTTTATGTTATGATATATATGGTAGTAGTAGCAAGGGTGAGATAGTCCCTAGGGTTCGGTTGTTAGGAATGACGGGTAGGTCAGCACCCCAGAATGGCTTGACATGGGTAGGCCAGCACCCCAGAATGGCTTGACACGGGTAGGACAGCACCCCAGAATGGCTTGACATGGGTAGGTCGGCACCCCAGAATGGTCGGACCGGGTAGGTCAGGCACCCCAGAATTGCCCGACAGTATGTTTTGTTATGAGATTGTATGGTATGTGGTATGATGGGGGAACTCACTAAGCTTCGTGCTTACAGTTTTCAGTTTTGTTTCAGGTACCTCTTCAGCGAAGGGGAAGGAGCCGGCGCGGTAGCGGGCACATCACACACACGCAGGATTTCCGCACTATGAGATTTCTTGGGATTGTACTCTGACATTGTTACTATTTTTACGATATGAATTTGAGACATGAGATTATGGTTTTATGAAATGATATGACTCAATTATGTTTTCTTATAAACGTTTTCTACATTGTTATATCAAAAATGAAATTTTTGGTCTTGAAATTGGGATGTTACAAGTTGGTATCAGAGCCTTGGTTTGAGGGATTCGGGCACGCTCTTGAGTGTGTCTAGACTCAAACTGAGGACTTGGTATAAGATTTTTCAGAAAAAGAAAATCATTTTTATAAATGAAGTTTGAAAAGAGAAAAGAACTTTGAAAAAGAACAAGATGTGTGATGTGCGCGACCGGCCGAGCTCAAGTAAGTTTTCCCCAAGATACCCATACATGTTATGTTATGATATGATATGATTATAAGAATTGCATGCTAAATTAGGGCTAAGGATCTAGGAATGATGCCTTATATGCCTACTGTATATGTATGAGAACTGCATGCTAGATTAGGACTAAAGGATCTAGGAAGATGCCTTATGTGCCTGTTATATGTGCTTATCGGATTATATGCTAGAACTGATTAGTCAGTAGTGTGATGGCCTGAATAAGAGATGTTTGGTATGGTTACTCAATGCTCGAATGCTGATAGCTTCGTGCTTTTAGGAGTTCTAGTTATCTTTAGTTAACTAGTAAACGAATACGTTAAGTTACATATTGCGAGGACTACATAATTTCAGAAGGTTAGGTCTAACCCTATTGCACAGCTCTTGTTTGAGTCTAACCGTTGTAGGGTAGGCCTCTCATTCGAAGAATTATATGGGCTTAGTGATATGTAATGGTATTCGCGAGCTAGTTAGGTAAAGGTAGCAGGGACTTCTTGTGCAGCTGATGGCGGAGAGTAGGCCGGAGGGTTTCCCTAGGGTAATCCTAGGATGAGAATAGTGATGGGAGAAATAGTAGAAGTGAAAGGGACTTGGTGAAGTCGAAGCAATCCTTGAGGAAAGTACGGATAGATGTGGAAGGTAGTATGGGCCCGTACTACTGAAAGCAGGGGATCCGTACTCGAGTCAAGGAGGGCTAAGATGGAATCAGGGAACTGTAGAATGTATGATACTTCCCGAGAGTTATGTATGATTCTGACGATTATGTGTTCTGTTTCAGAATGGTGATGATCACACGTCATGGTGGGGGAGGTTCAGGATCAGGATCAGGTTCGGGTGCAGGTTCCGAGCCATAGGATGAGGGACTACGCGAGTTCATCGCGTCCGAGATTACGAGAGGCATCCTTGAGTCGACCCCGGTGATTTTCGGGTCGATCAAGGAAGGGATCATAGAGTTGATGGAGGATCGCCTCAGGGCATTCAGGAGCGATATGACATTTAGTCAGTCGGGAACACGCACACTGTCCTTCAAGGACTTCAGGGGAAATGGTGCGCCGGATTTCCATGGGGCCAAGGACCCCATCGCAGCCAGGAGATGGATTGCAGACATTGAGTATGCACAGTTGACGAGCTTCTGCCCTGAGGGGTCGAAGGTGCGATATGCCACAGGTTGTTTGAGAGATAGGGTCGGGGATTGGTGGGAGTCGGTTGGTGACTCGTTGGGAGCCTCGGCTATTGAGGCTATGACTTGTTCGGACTTTGTAACCAGGTTCAAGGCTGAGTTTGCGCCAGCTGTGGAGCTTCAGAAGTTGGCCATAGATTTCCTTGATATGAGGCAGACGACAGAGACAGTGGCGGAGATTACCGCCAAGTTCCGGGAGAGGGCCTTATTGGTACCCCAGTATGCAGGAGATGAGGAGATGTGGAGGACCCACTACCATGACATGTTGAGAGCTGATATCCGGGAGCATGCCAGCTTCTCAACTTGTCCGACCCTGGATTCCATGATTGCCAGGGCGAGGGAGAGGGAGATTGATTTGGAGCACATCCGAAAGAGGAAGGCAGAGGAGGGACAGATGACTGGGGCTTCGGGGAAGAAGCCAAAGGGAGCAGACACTAGGCCGAAGGGCCAGGGCCGCTGCAGGAAATGCGGCAGGCCACATGAGGGAGCTTGTAGATTGGGAGCGTCTGGCTGCTACAAGTGTGGCAAGACGGGGCACTTCAGCAGGGATTGTACCGCCCCAGCGCCCACTTTCCAGACATCAGAGTTGTTGTGTTTCCACTGCAACCAATGAGGCCATAAAAAGGCCAATTGCCCCCAGTTGACTGCAGCAGCGCCAGTGAAGGCGCCAGCTCCAGTGACCCTGCGGATTATAGATGGTCGGCAGGGCAAGTCAGAGGCACGCGCCGCACCCGATGTGGTGACGGGTATGATTTCTTCCCCCATAGCTTTTATTTTATGTTGCTTATGATATTGATGTGCCATGTGGTATGACTTGTTTAGGATCGTTCCATGTGAACGGTATCCTAGTTCAGGTGTTGTTTGATTCGGGCGCTACCCGATCATTTGTCTCTCTTGCGCTTAGCAAGAGGTTCCCTGAGTCTTCGGGCATGTTGGATTGCCCTCTAGAGGTCGAGATTGCCGATGACCGATCAGTACGAGCGTCAGTGGTTTTCAGAGATTGTGTTCTGAGGCTATTCGAGGAGCGCTACCTGGGTAGACTTGGTTCCCATTCATTGCGTGGGAACAAGGTGATTATAGGCATTGTGACATCCCAGAATTTAGGTTTGAATCTGTAAACGATCAGTCACCGCGAACCTTTTTGTATCTTGACCGATTGAATTTTAATGCATGTTTTAGTAGAAATATAATGTCAATTCAAATACAATAAGATATGAAATGGTATAATATCTCCAATTATGGAAAATGTCGAACGAATTTCAAAGCGCAAATTGTAACATTAGTTAACGACTGAAAAACTGAAATTTTGATATTAAGCGTTTGTGAACAAAGAAAATATTCTAAACTCGTAGTACCTGTTTCCCTGATCACGGATATATAAAGAACGTCCAAAACGGGGTTCGTATGCAAAAGATATGACCGTTTTAACAAACCAAACCGGTATAACACTGGCTTTATCTGATTTCATAAACCGTATTGATCAGTGGAGGCACTTGCGTATATCAGATGAAAATTCCGAGAGTGTTTGGACTCATACTAAAGTCTAATATACACAATGCTATACTTAAAATATTTTTAACAAAAATATTTACAAACTCGAAAATAAATAAATAAATACATTCGTTCGGGTTTTGGAGTCGTTGAACTTAAAACTATTATTCGCCAAGTACCCCATAATTTATTTAAAAGAATAATAGAAAATAGTACTTAAATAAAAATAAAAAGAAACATAAATAAATAAAATAAAAGTAATAATAGGATGTTTATTTAAATAAATTTATTTATTTCACATGAAAGTATATTAGTCTAAGGGCAGATTTGTAATTTCCTGAAACTAATTTGGTGACAATATATGAGATTAGGGTGGGGTTGGTTAGAGTGGCAAATTACAAGGACCATTTATGCCAAAATCAGGAAGATTGTGTCTTCTTCCTCACTGCATACGACTGCATTATGCAGTCTGCATATGACTTAATCCTTTTCCCTCCATTGATAACTGATGCAAAAACGAATCTTAGAAAGCCAATTTGTCTTATCCCTCAAATGTTATCCCTTTAACTTATTGATAAATATCTTTCCATTCCTTATCTTAAAAGCTCAAATCGTTGGTGAAGTAGGAATCCCGATTTGAAGTTCCACCATATCCCCACCATAAAAAAAAAACATCATTACACCACCGTGAACCGCCTACTGCAGCTACTCTTAGGCCACCTCCTCTTGATCAGAAATCATCCCAACACCACCCCATTATAGTCCGCCTCTTACAACCTCTCCCTCTCGCCGGAATCCGCTCGAAACAGAGGAGAAAATGGGCAAACTCGTCGACCACAGTCGACTGCCACCCATCGCCGACGCCCACTTGATCACTCACCGATGTTGTTGCTGTCGGAATTCCACCCCTCCGACCGCCTGCCACCTTCTTCGTCCCTCTCTTGTCAATCTCGCCGGACGAACCCCAGGGGAGGAGCATGGGAGCTGCCGCTGTGTGTCACCCATCACCACCCACTGACATCCTTCTTTTGGGGTTGCTGCCACCTTGAAAACTCCGATCAGCAATCACATTCCACCACTATGAGTAAATCGACCACCACAGAAGGTCGTCGTTGTTGTGGGACGCCACCGCTATTGCTGCTGCCGACGCTAACCACTCACGACCACCGCCTACCCACTGTAAGCCCTTTCGCCATCATCATCATTCGTGTTTTATCCCTTACGAACAACCGAGGCCTAGAGACCCCGCAGATGGGTCTCGTTTCCCTTCATTTGACTGTGAATCACGTCCAAAAACGAGGAAGACGAACTGTGCAAACATTGATATATTTTATTTAAATCTAACCCTAAACTATACTGCTTTTAGGAGTCGAGTCCCTCCTTGTGAAATAATTTACATTCAAGTCAAACTGTCTTGTAATATAGGCAAGATCAACCCCTCCTTTCGAAAACCTTACCAAGATGAGTTCGAAATTTGCAACTTAGGCTGTGAATGTACAATTCTAGTCCCTGCCTTGGAAATATATTGAAAGATCAGTCATGTAAGGATGATTTTAACAAAATCAATCCCTAGAAATTATTTATGTTAACAAAAACCACCCAATACTTAATAACTAATACCAAAACTAGTATGTTGGCTTTATTAGGTAATTTAAATATACCCAGTGGTTTATTTTAAGATCAAGGAACATTACGTAGAAGTTTTTACGACGAGTTTCTCACCACGAACCTCATTCACGCTACGAAGGTGAGTGTTACGGCCCCTTTTTATGTTTTATTATTTTGGGGGGGAATACATGTGAAATATATATAAATATATTTTCCGGTTATGAAATGTGTTTTTAACATGCTAAATTTATATATCGGCTATGGAATACACATATAAAACATATATCTAGTTTTAATACTTATTATTGTCAAAATAATGTATTATAAACCGATTTCTTTACGATATACATGCGTTTAAAAATATTATTAGTCTTGTGCATAATTTTTTTTACTTGTTTCGAGCATGTACAAACATATTTATTAATTATATATGTACAAATTATAACAATTATATCTTGGAAATCATTCATGCATGTGAAGAAACATTTTATCTATTCAAGCGAGTGACATACATTTTTACGGATTTATCGAACTTACTCGGATTTTATAGTGAAACTTTACCGTATAACCTAGTTAATGGCCTCTATAGTGAGACAGTATTCATTACCTAAGTTTAACCACTTAGTATTCCCATTTAAACTATAACCGTTAATCCTCGGAGCGAGATATGCATGTATAGATCTATACGGGTTGACACCCCCACCTGCGGTTGCTAGCTACAACCTCGACTGATCAATCGAAGCGGGTGATAATTATCTTTAGTATAACTACGACTTCTAATGAAGCGTTGTGCAGGGATTATAACGGGTCACATAGCTCGGTTATAGGACTCACTATAGGCATTAACTGGACTCTTTAACTAGAAACCACGGATTCGGTTTCTCTGTTTATCAAACATTTTTAAGTATGAATTTACTTATGCTTTAACTCTTTATCAAGCATTTTAAGTATGAATTTACTTATGGTTTAACTTTTTATCAAGCATTTTTTTAAGTATGGATTTACTTATGGTTTAACTCTTTATCCAACATTTTAAGTATCAATTTACTTATGGTTTAACTTTTTATCAAACATTTTTTTTAAGTATGGATTTACTTATGGTTTAACTCTTTATCCAACATTTTAAGTATGAATTTACTTATGGTTTAACTCTTTATCAAGCATTTTAAGTATGGATTTACTTATGGTTTAACTCCTTATCCAACATTTTCAGTATGGATTACTTATGGTTTATCTATTTATCAAATATTTTAAGTATCGATTTACTTATGGTTTAACTTTTTAACAAACATTCCAATCACAAAATTACTTATGATTTCTTCCTTTATCAAACATAGTTTTAACCACAAAAGAAATACTTTCTAGACTTATAAAGTATCATTACTGCAGTTAGCAGAAAACCTGTAACTCTCACCAACCTTGTGTTGACCTTCAAATCACATGTATTCTCAGGAAATCAGTGAACCGGCCTTTAACAGAAGATTTGTTCATGGATTTTCAGGCAGTCTAGTCTCACTTAGTTTTTGTTATGTCTGCCTACTTGTTAAGGCGAATTTATGAACCTATTATTATATGTAGGAACTTTGTATTCGAACTTTAAACTGGAATGTAACTGCTATGTTGTTATTGTTGTAACTTGTGATGTATATTCAATTTGCTTGTGATCCATGAACTAAGTCGCACAGCCCGGCGTATTCCGCCGCCTCGACCGGGGGTGTGACAAATTGGTATCAGAGCTAAATTGGCTATAGAGAACTCGTATCCTCGAAAGAGGAAATACAACTATAGCTACATGCTCCTAATAAAAGTACTATTAATAAATATACTACTTCTCGACTGCTCACGGGAGAGGCAGCTGGTTTGAAAGGCCGCTAGGGTTACTGGACTTCAAAACGGCTTAAATGCCACAATGGTCCTGGCCCCCGGTGTTTTCTGTCTGACCCTCATATGTGCTTAGTAGTCTTGGAGTACAAACCAAAAATTTAATAATACTACAAACTTCACAAACAATAATATAAAAGAGTTATATATAGATACTCTGACCCGCGATGAGAAAACTTAATAAACATTCTGACATGCCTTCAACTAAAGCTGCCAACTCAACCCTTTAGGTCAAAAGCCTCAACTAAGGTTAGTATCGTACATAGGCCATACCATAAATAAACTTGGAACGCGCGCCTATGTTATTTATGGTCGGGCTGGTGAACGACCAACCTTTAGCGACGAGTTTGATAGACTATAATGGTTGAGAGTTTTAGAGATTGAAGGATGTTCTCAAGACTCGATACGGGTACCTAATACCTAAAATCCTTGTATCAACTCCCAGACAACATATACATCTTAAACAAAAAAAAATCATAAAAATACTTAAATGTCTGGGATACCGTCCAGATATTCCTGATTTACCTAAATCCGAAAAAGATCAAAGAACCAGTAGCTCCGCTACTCTCACAGCAGAGAAACTGTAGTACCCAGTAGATCGTTCAGTATTCTCCAAACTTCTATCTCCCCTATCTTCCAAAGACGACAAGGATTTGCAAATACGAACCATCTAAAGAATTTTTTTAGGGGAGGAATCTGAATAAGAGAAGGGAACGATCGAAGATGAGAAACCAGTTGAAGAAAACATGAAAGGAAAAGGACTAACAGATGAAGAGTCCACCATTCAAACGCCACCAGTGTACTACATCTACTGATTATTTTAAGGTGGAACGCTCTGCATGGATGCTCTTACGGAAAGGATTCCACTTCATTCCCAAAGTGATACTTCCACCTAAAGGAAGCAAATGTCATCACAAGAGCCGGAATGATTCACAAATACTCTGAGAGAGAACTAATAGTCTCGAGGAACAAGAATATGACAAGTCATCATTCCCCAAGTTCGTTCTCGCCTATCACAAAGTCTATCAATAAAGTTGTGCTTCTTCCAATTGAACGAAGTGTTCGAATTAAGCCAACAAATCGAATCTATGATAGACAACATGAATATAGTAGAATACACCACTCGCACTCTAAGCCATAGAGTAGGAGAACTCAAGAAATAATAATATGATGAAAATGGGATTGCCCATATACTATGCCATCATATCAAAGAAAGGTCATTACCCATGGTCACAAAATATATATTAGAGTATAGAGTCCAACTGACCTAAAGCAGGCTAGGAATCAAACGATTATAACAAATCAAAGGATGTGTGAAACACATAATCAGCTCGAAGAGCTAGCCAATCTGCTAATCGGACATTTTAAATCTCTAACAAGATTACCTAGGGCGATTAGTACCCTAAGGTTAAGTTTAGGAATCATGGGAAAAGAGATTATATGCAAACATTTATCATTTCTATGTCTCTCAGTGAATGAAGCTTTTTCATTACTAACCCTGCCCATGTTTGGAAACTGGGTGTAACAAGATGTAACCAAAATAAAGTGTTTATGCCATCGAGTGTTTCAAAGGTCATAAATATTATCATTCCTCGCTCTATCATTTGGAAATCTATGGGGTTTCCGGAACCGATCACTATTTCACTATCGTTTGGAATCGATAGGATTTCAATTCTCTCTTTATCATTTAAATTGGTAGGATTTCAACCCTCCCTCTAGCATTTGGAAACATGTAGAATTTCAGAAATCGATCGCTCTCTCTATCACGTGGAAATCCGTAGGATTTTAGGAACAAGTCACACTAATACACTATCATATAATACGACTTATAAATGCTCGTTTATAACTAAATTGTTATCGGTACATTTCCTGTCATCAAACCTCATTCATCTGTGCTATTTGATTATGGTATCGATAGAAGCTTCATTGACCATAAGTTTAGAAGCATGCTAAACCATAAATCTCTTTTGTGTATCATCTGCAAATAGATGGACATAGTGAAAGGACGATACAAACTCTGGAAGTCATGTCCTGTGCTTGTGTGAATGACTGCAGTAATGCATAGGATATTTATTACCGCTAGTCGAGTTTTCATACAACAATAGTTATCACGCCAGCATGTAGGCTTCCCCATTCAAGGCCTTGTATGGGCACAAATTCCGTTCTCCGCTATACTGGATATCCAACTGGATAGAAATCATGTTGGAGATACTTCACATACTGGCCTCGAGATCATTCAGGAAACCATGGAGAAGATCGATCGGATCAAGAAAAGATTAAAGGCCTCACACCTATAGTAAAACTCTGATGGAACTCTCGTTAATGGCAGGAGTTTACTTGGGAACGCGAAGTCCAAATGATGCAGAAATATTCACAACTATTCAGCGGTGATCCCTCCACTAGTGGAACGAAATAGTTGAAGGAACGAGATAATTACGGGACGAAATTCGTTTAACGGGGAGGTAATGTGATATCCCAGAATTTAGGTTT